TGAAACTGACCAGCGGCTGACTACAGGAAGCCCAAGGCAGAGTTGCTCTGCCCCGGGCTTCCTGGAATCAGCTGCTGATCAGTTTCAGCCACTGTTGAATCTGGATGCCAGTTCCGACTTACATACAGATTCAACTTAAGAACAAACCTACAGTCCCTATCTTGTACGTAACCCGGGGACTGCCTGTATGTGTTTTGCACATATAGACAGTGTACCATGATGTGTATATATAGCTTGAATCGGTAAAATCCTCATCAGGAGTATTTTTGTTTCCCAATCTTGTCCAAACCCAATGGCTAAAACAGGGAAGTTGATTAGGATTCCATTTTGTGTTGCTGTGTCTGAGACTCTGCTTATGGGAATAGAGGCATTTGTATGAAATAACTAAAAAAGAACTGGGGTATGTGAAATAACTGAAAGCAAAGCACTGAAACTTTGTCTGTTAAAAATATTCCAATAGTGTGTATTTGTTAATTTATTGAGTAAATTTGGTGCTCAGGAAGGTGAGGCGCTGTAAAATCCTTGTCCTTAGTTACACATCATAGCTGTGTCTAGACTGGCAAGTTTTTCCGCAAAAGTAGCTGCTTTTGCGGAAAAACTTGCCAGCTGTCTACACTGGTCGCTTGATTTTCCGCAAGAACACTGATGATCTCATGTAAGATTGTCAGTGTTCTTGTGGAAATACTATGCTGCTCCCATTCAGGCAAAAGCCCTCTTGCGCAAATGCTTTTGCGCAAGAGGGCCAGTGTAGACAACGTGGTATTGTTTTGCGCAAAAAAGCCCCGATCACGAAAATGGCGATCGGGGCTTTCCTGCGCAAAACCACGTCTAGATTGGCACTGATGCTTTTCCGCAAAAAGTGGTTTTGTGGAAAAGCATCCGTGCCAATCCAGACGCTCTTTTCCGCAAATGCTTTTAATGGAAAAACTTATCCGTTAAAAGCATTTGCGGAAAATCATGCCAGTCTAGACGTAGCCACTCTGTATTGCAAGAAACCCTATTTAATTATGCTAGTGCCCTTACTCCTGTACTAGAATTCAGGCCTTTTTCTACCTTAAGCAGATGTTAGCAGTTGTTTCTTTTGTGATATGTGAACACCAAACTCATTTTCATTTAGAATCTCAGGTAGGCTTTGATTCTGGTTTCTCAGAAGTGGAAGAATGGTGAACTAATCTCCTGTGCTGTTTTAAGCTACATCACCATCCATTTTAAAACAATTTCATTGTAAGGCTGAAGTTTGTAACATTGCCACACGGGGGTGCTCAAGCACTTAAAATATGAGGTAATGGTGACTAGCAATGCACCCTCTGAATGTTTATCAACAGAGACTTGGAGGCATTTACTGATAAATATTTTCATAAAAAAGCACTACGCTCATCTCTCAAACAGGGTAATATCTTATTAATTTGCACCGTGCCGTCGGCTACCTAGTAAAATACACAAACAAAAAGTATTTTTTGATGCTGAAGTGCTTTGTGCAGCATCAAAACATCAAATTATCAAGAGGATAAAGCATATTTTTGAAGAGCAAGTAGTATTCCCATTGGTGTAACTTAGGGAAATTTTGTTGTACAATGAAGTGAGCATTTTCAAAATACAGTAAACTTCCGATAATCTGGCACCTTTAGGACCCAGGGGGTGCTGGATTATCAGATATGCCCGACTATCGAAAGTGGGGGCTATGAGAGGTCTGACTCCAGGAAGCTGGGGTAGAGCAGCTCTAC